TTTATAATATTAATTGAATACATACATTGTATATATATTTATTATAATTTAATGGTTCAATAATCATTTAATGTAATGAACCTACATGTCTCTAATTAGAAATTTTATATTTATCTTGAAACCGAGAACTATCATATTAATTTTCATATGTAATGCACTATTGAATTAATTTTATTGTAATAAAAGTTAATAATGGGTAAACACGTGTTTAGGCACATTAAATATTTCTCTTAAAAGTATTATGTTCTGATTACATATATTAAATATATGTAATTATATACATTTTTGCATGACAATAAATTTAATATCAGTAGCGTGTGATAGGTAGATTTTATTAAAAATGTTGCACAACTGCAAAACATTGTTTTCATACATTGTTTCAATAGAATCACAGGAAGTACCTTTGTATATAGGTAAAATCGAGTTGTTTACAATAAAACTTTTGTTAAGTTCAATATTTGAAATCGTTTTCAATCTCTACTATTTTCTATTAACAAAAATTTATACACTGTCCATCAGTTCAGGCGTCTCTATTCTAACACTCCCAAAAGTATGTAGAGAGCTGAAATTCTGGACACAAATGAATCATTGCGAGAAAATTTTTTATTTTCTCATTTCAAAAATCCAATTTTTAGTAAAGAAGCCCCCAAAAATATTTTAACGAATTCAAAAATTGGGAGGAAAACTTCCTTTTATTTTCTTTGAAGAAAATTAGCTTTGACAAAGTGGTTGCGTAGCACAAGAAGTATTTATTTGCATTTAAAAATATTTAGTTACAGTTAGCCTACAATCTTTATTAGATTAAAGCTGATAAATAGTCTATCGGAGAGTCAAATCGTTTCATGTAGTTTATAAAAATATTTTTTAACATTATTCAGAAATAAAAGGTTAAGCAATAAAATAAAATTATATTTCAAATTCAAAATTGTCATATAAAATGATCGCTATCTGCATTCTGTGTTATTTTAAAAAATTTTAACATTGAAAAATGTTTATTTAAGGGTTATGTCTAAAATGAATGAAAAATTTTAAAAGATTTGAAGATTTTTTATTTATACTTTTGTGTTTTTTCCTTTAATCCGCATAATCTGATAATCTGCACTTGTTTTTATTTTTTCTTTGGTAACAAGATCGATTAAATTTTTTGTTTGTGTAATTGTCTACTCGTATTTTAAGCTGTTTCTAATCCTACTATGTCGTCGTCATTTACAAAGGCAATAAATTGTCATTTATTTTAAAATTATTTTAAATGCGCTTAGGTTTACAAAACTTGAGGCGAAAAATTGCAAACAAACGGAATTTTTTTCACTAAAGTGCAGAATTGGTTACTTAAGCATACGGGCGGTTATACAAGAATCTGGTGATAAATAAAATTGTATGTACACATTCTAGAGTTCCATCTATCCAAATAAAATGGGAAATAACGCATCACCTTTATTAATCGAATTCGTTCCTAACAAAATTTAAAACCAGGCAGCAATAATCAGAATTTAATTTGGTCTTCACATGTTATAAAACTATTTGAAACAGGTTAAAGTAATGGGGGTGCTTTCCGTATATGAGCGTATATGACGAGATGTTACTTAAATTTCTTTTTGTTTCTTTTCTTCTTTTCACTTTGAATGCATAGCTAATACAATTGAATGTGGAATGATTTTTTGGAAAATTTAAAATATTGTAGTATTAAAAGGTTTTTTTCTTTCAATGTTTTTGTACAGAGCCATCGTGCACACTATAGAGCTACGAAATTTTTGGAAGGACTTCATAAAATCTTAAAATATATTACTGTTTTATTATATGTTAAATCAAGATATAATTCGGACATATCTGACCACTAATACAATGGTTATGGTACCAATCCTTTAACCGAAGACCTTCGGGTTCAAACCCTGTTCCGGTCACTATAAAAATTATATTTAATATTATATAGCTTACCATACAGCATTATAAAATAAAATGTTAATATAAAACTAATTGCTCACATATCCATGGTATTCGATATTGAATATCAACAAAAAATAAACAATAAAAAACCTTCCGGCTAGTTACTATCTTGTTAACTCGATGACTTGTGAAACCTGATGCTTGACCCTGTAAAAAGTCAAGTCGAAGGTCCCAATGCTCCCAAGTGGGAGCAATAAGAAAATATTCGGACATGTACCTGTATATAGGTAGACTCAAACAAATATCGTGCATTCATAATATTTATTTTTTTTCACCTTTTCTCCATTATTTATTTCATGATCATGTTGAATATTTTATATGTGTATATGGTGAAACATTTGCGTGAAAAATCTATTATAGAAAATTATTATTTTATTACGCATGATATTTAAAAAAAATAAACAACGATTCTTAATAAAACTACAAGCATGTTGCAGAAAATAAAGATGACAGTGAAGAAAAATAAAATAAAGAAAAAAAAACATAAAATTAATTAATTTATTTATTTTTGTTTTTTTTATATTTTAGAAAATGAAAAATGATATATAACAAATGATATCCAATATATCATTAATTGTAGAGTACATCAAACTTGACTCAAGCTTTTCATATCTTCAACTTATCCACATATAAAATGTACCAGTAGAATGTGTGTGTGCTCAGATAAAATATGAAACTTTCTTGTTTTAAAAATATCATACATATTTGTGAATAAAAATTCACTGCGGTTGAAACAAATATTACTCATATTTATGAATATAAAAAGAGTAATTAAACTATTGTGAATTAAAACTAGTGTAGTTAGAAAAAGAGAAGTATTAAAATCATGTAATTTGAATTATACTTTAAAATAGAAGAGTTATAATTAATGTATTTACAGATATGAGTCTGCGCTGTATTTGCGTAAACGTCGTATATAGCGTCTCGGTTTATCATATTTATTTAGTTTATTGATTTCAGAGAAAATGTCTGATCTTTCAGTATGATCTTATGTTACATTTAAATTTTTAATAATTAAAATAATTATTAATAATTAAAAATTAAAAAATCGTAGGTTTTTTTGTAAATTTTCAAAAAAATTTGATAAAAAATTAGAGTCCCTTTTTCTGTATTTTAAAATTTCTTAAAAAGAAGAAGAAATCTGGATTCTGCACGAAGTCTGAAATTTTAACAGCTGACGAATATAATAAATACTCAATTTTATAATAAAAATAAGTAAAATTTTTTCGAAATTCTTCCCCTTTTTGAGTTATTTAGGCAGCACACATTTTTAAAATCTGAATTTTTGCACCACTCTTTATTCAACACTCTATCAAGTAGAGCTAGCTCTCTGATCATACTCTTATGTCCTCACTAAATTAATCAGTAACTGCTTCCTAACTAACGAAACCCGGATTAAGCGCCGAGTACTCGCTTTCACCCGCCCTCGTAAGCCTTACTAAATAAGTTGCTTAGGAGACACCCGACAGATAACTATGCTACTTACCTTCTAGGAGGTGAGAGTTGGATTTGTTGGCAGAGCTGATGTTTTTAGAGGGCATTTCCTAGCATTTTCAGCTTCACATGCCAACTTTTGTCCCCCAACCCCTATTTTATTATAAATATTATTATTTTCGAAAATTTAATGCAAATTTCTCCCAAATTTATGCAATTTTATTATATTATAATAAGAACTAATGATTGTTCCCATATTCTAGTGCATGGTCACATAGGTCCTTTTCATTGTTTTAAATTTAAGTTTAAAAAAAACTTTAAACTTAAATTACTTAAGGGAAATGTACTATTTTACAGTTTTACAAAGATTTTGTTGATTACATTTTTGAACAATTGAAGAAATTATAAAAATTATAAAGATTATTCCTTTTTTTTTAAATTTTGGATTTAGATCATTATGTTATACTCGTATGTATGACAAGAGCAGTAATAATAGAGTATAATATTGAGAAAATTCCCTACAATATTAAAATGTGTAGAATTTGCATTTGACATGACGTCTAGAATATTTCCATGAAACAAAAACAGAGTTGACAAATTTTATAATTTTTCATGATATCACAATTTTGCTTTGACGTATCAAAATTACATAATAAAATTTACAATATTATAAAAAAATAAAACAATGAAATAAATCAAACTCCGTCTCATTTCAATTTTTCCCGTAATATCCAAAATAAATACAAATATATGTACATATACATAATATGTATGTAATTAAATTGTTTCAAAACATTTGTTCTTCATTCAATTTTTCTGTCAAATTGTTGCCTTTTTTTTTTTACCTTTATATTGTCCTAAAATGTAATTCACTTTTATCATCATGTATGTTCGTATGTATGTATTTATACATTATGTATTATAATATAATAACTGTTATTTTTATTAATATTTTTGTATTATTTTGCTTCTATTCATTAAAATGTTAGACAATATTTTTATGCATGTATGCGTGAATGCTTAAAGTTACAAATTGACATTTTTCACTTCATAAAATTCATGTATTGAAAATGTGTGTACGTCTGTATGTATGTATGTATGTATTTATATTTATCTAATTCTGATCTGTATGACTATATTTGTGTGTATAATTATGTATGGTAGACAGCATCTCTTATATTGTTATATGATGCATAAAAGTATGCATGTGTGTATTTATAATTAAATTTAATAAAAGTTATAAAAGAAAATTTGGTGGTACAAAAAACGTTTTGATCAAAAAGTTGGTAGTTTTTCACATTGTATTTGATTTGTTGTTGTAATTTTTTGTTTTTTTGAGTAAATGTGCGCCAACAAACCGCAATTTCAATTTTTTTTTTTTTAATTTTCTTAATTTTTTATTTTCTGCTTTTTGTTTTCGCTTTTTTTTTTCATAACAGTGGTGGTAGGGAAAGCTAAAGTGCATATAAGCATAGCATATTTTTTTTCATTTGCTTTTTTTTTTTTATAAAATTTTAAGCTTTTCTTGTGTTTTTGTTGTGATATTTTGTTTTTGTGTTTTAGTTTTGTTTTGTTTGTATTTGCGGCGAGTTATGTTGCACGGGTAATAGTAATTTTTACTGTTTTTTTTCTTATTTTTTCTTAATTTTCTTTATTGTCTGTATTTTAATTTAAGTTTTGAGTGTAAAAAATAAAAAGTAAAAAAAAAACAAAAAAAATTTTTGCTTAGTTACTTTTATAGAAAAGCCTCTAAAAACAAAATAAAAAAAAAAAACGAGAAAAAATAATAAAAACAATTTTTGAGTACTATGGATGGATGAAGTTTTTAACTATATGGTGGAACTGGAGAACATCACATTTTAATTGTAATGAATCAATCGAAAATTCAGTCGATGATTAACCGTTGTATCGGATGGATTTTTAATTTTTTTAATATTTCTTCCTTAAATCGTGAATAATGTATAAATAAAAAAAAAAAAAAATTCGAAATAATTAAAAAATAAAATTTCGATTTCAATTTCGTTTCACTATTAAAACTGTTATAATAAAAGCGTCCACATGAAAAACTTGCATTGAATTTAAAATTTAAGAATTAAAGAAATTGAAAAAGCCAGGATTTTATATAAGAAACGAATTTAAAAGCCATGAAATTTTAATTAGACTCTATAGAAAAAATTAAGATTTTTTTTTGGATATTTTTTTGATTTTATATAAAAAATATTTTTTTCTAATATCGAAATTAAATAATAAGTGCTCGAACGAATGAAAAAATAGAAAAAAAAAATTTTTATATTAAAAACTGATTATGAAATTTTCCAAAATATAAAATTAATTAATAAATTAAATAATTAATAAAAAAAATAGAAAACAATTTTAAAAAATATTCGTAATTTTTTTTTTTTAATAATTTATTTGAATTTTTTTAAAAATATTATTGCAAAGGAAAAAAAAACTAGTGGAATAATTTTGGTATGATGAAAATAAATTTTTTAATTTCTTAATTAATTTTTAATTTTTATCATAATTGTTCAATAAAATCTTGAATAACAATTGTATTAAATCTTAAATTTGAATTACACAATTATAGACGTTCAAAGTGATAACCATTATATACCAATTGTGAGTTCAAAATAACAAAAGCAGTGTGAGATTACAATTGCTGCAGATATGAAACACATAATTAAATAGAAAAAATATGAAAAATTTTAACTAAACATAATTTGAAAAAGAAAAGCAAAAATCGCATACATCTTTTAAACTTTTAAAGGCGTGGTGGGGATTCATGGAATAATTCCATCGTGATGCAATTCATATTAAAAACTTAATATTAAAACCACATTATTTATATGAAAAGTTAGAAATAAAATATTCCATTTCATATTTTATTTGATATTATTATAATACATAAAAATTAACCCTTTCATTCCTTTCTATAATTGTTCATATATATAGAAATGAAAAACATATAAATACCAATATATGCTGGTAATAACTGTCTGTTGTGGCTTTAATAACATACTATTGTCATGCTCATAATAATTCTCTATTTTATGTAGATTATGGTTTAAGACTATTGAAAAAGATTTAAACTCATTTTTTATAGTAAACAAACCAAATTTCGAATTTCAATCAGATTCAAAATTATTTTGGAGAAAATACATATGAATTCTTTTTAAATTTGCAAAAAATTCTGTTAGAATGAACAAAAGAATTTCAAAATTTAACAAAGAAATTGACATAAATTTGCAAAAAATCAAACTGGGAATAAAAAACCAATACTTTTTCCCAGCTTTTTATTGAAAATCTTTTACAAAATTATTTTTAATGCCGCTTGAAAAGTTTTCTTCAATAAGTTTTTCTTCGTAATATTTAATATGGGCAAGAAAGGGTTAATAAGCAATTGTACTGTAAATTATTTAAACAATTTTTTTATTTTGGGTGTATCGTGTTAAACTTGATTGTATCATGTGTTCAGATGCAAATTTAATACTTTTTATATCACATGCATACATACAAAAAACATGCATCTATAATTTAAATTTACTTTTTCAAATTTATTATAAATTTATAATTAAAAACTTTTGCAATAATTATTTTGTTAACTAGAATGCTAGCTCAAAATTTTATATTAAATCCTATTACATATACAAGTACACATTTAAAACTCGAATTGATTAAATTTATTGTGAATAAAATTGAAATTTAAACTCAATATGTGATGGTGATGCAAACCAAAATCAACTTTAATAAATTTTTTACAGAAATATGCTTTTAATAAATTCAAAATTTTGTAACCAATATTTTTTTACAAAATTCAATTACATACATATATATATAATATGTATACAGTTGCTACCAAGAATTTGTTTCACATACAAAATAATTATATTAGGTTTTATTGAGTTCAAATTGTTGAGATTGTCTTATGCTTAGTATATATGCAACTATATTTGCCATTACATGAATTATGTATGTATGTATATAAATAGTTAAAAATTACTCTGTTGCTTCAAAGCTTGATCAACTTAAAAAAATTTTAATTTTGACAAATAGCGTTTCAAAATTAATTTGTTTGTTTTTTATTTTAAATTTATATTATAAAAAGGCTATAAGTGGGGGATATGACCTAGGTAATGTAAAATATTTAACATCACTTCATTCACGTTAACTTTTCTATTAAGACAAGTGAAAATCATTTTTGTTATGTTGTTAGCACTTGCAGTTGATATAAGGCAATTTCTTATTGGTTTACCAAAAGTATGCAATGAGATTACAAATTAAAATCAAATTTAAATATGATATTTATATCACTTGCAATATTAAAATAAAATGGCTATGATGTTGGAAGAATGTACTCTTAGAGAATATCAAAAGTGTCACCTAAATCATACTAATTTTATGATGTGTTTCATACAGAATGCGAGCGTATAAATCGCTGTAACAAATTGGGAACGCTATAATTTTATAATTTTTAGCATTAAGTGAACTTTGTAATTATTCTATAAATAGAACCCAATTGATAATAACATAAAAAACTTAACGTATAACAGAACTAATGCTCTTTTGTATCCAATATTTATTCTAGAAAAAATTTTATATTTATCCATGATTGAAAACAGAATTCTGCATAAATTGTCATATTCTACTAGAAAATTATAATTTTTTGAGTTGTTACAATTTTGAAGCAAAGTAGAGCAAAATATTAGAATAAACGCTGGCATACAATTTAATTCCAAAACAAACTTTCAAAAATAATTTATATTTCATATTTATATAATTAAACATTGGTACATGTAATGAATGTATATACATACATATTTGTACAATTGTGTATTTTAGAATTGGGTTCCTTATTTACATTAAGTTAATATTTATACGAACGTATATGTGATTTAAGATAAATAACAACAACTGGTACAATATTTATTTTAATATTAATGAGGAAGATTTCCTTGATCTGTCTATGACTTTACCTTATGTGTTTACACTATTATACATAAATACGGGGGTATATAATAAAAGTGTAAGATTTTTTTCTTAATGAACTTTTTAATATTTTATTTGTTGTAATAAAAAATTTTATGTTGTAAAATCATTAACAGCTTTTATTCATACTAAACTTAATTTTTATTTTACACGTACAAGTTTTGAACTTAAATCTATTAGTAAATTATTTTTTAAATATTTTTTAGTATGGAAAATTTTTTACGAGTGAATTCGTTTCCTATATAATTTCTATATTTTAGATACATGTCATTAAATTTCCAATTGTATAATGGTTGTCTGCATTATTTTCGAATTATTGTATATATACGTCTATTTAATATATATATATGGTTAAACTATATTAAAATTACGTCCAGTAATTGTTATTAAATTAAATCACAGCTCAAAAATATCCAAATTCATATGATAATATGATTTGTATAATATGAGAATAAATCTGATAAACAAATTGATTTTTGATAATTTTAACTAAATTACGAGTAGCTAAAAATAAAAATGTGTGCCTTCTAATATATGAATTTATAACGAAAACGTATCGAATTGAGAATTTTAATTTATAAAATTGTATATACTCCAAGGATTACTTTAAATACTTTTGACATCAAAAATATTTCATAAAAAGAATCCGTGACTTCACAATTAAGTATTATCAATAACAGTATTATCAATAACAAATTCAGCAATAACAACTTATAATCTGAATTATGTATATTAATATCCTATATAAATGTAATTTCGAAATTGGGAGACTTAATTGCTACTATTGTATATACTACCAAAATTAAAACTTTATGCAATATTAAAAATATCGTATAATTCTGAATCATTGGAAATTTCATAAATCTATTGAAGCTCCAAAGTAAAACTGTATTTAAAATGATAAATGCATATAGAAATGCATAGGTAGGCAGTGATTAGGTTGCGATCAAAGTGTAAACTACTTTTTTTTTAGTTTGCTACGTAAAACAATTATGCCGCATAAATATGTTGTTATCATTAATCTCATGTTCATGTATGAACATGAATAATTCTGAAATGTTGTATTACACTCTAAAAATTTAGGTATTTAAAAAATTTATACAATTATAAATTATACATATGTACGTTTATAAATTTTAAATAAACAGATGATTCGTTTAAGCATCCCCTTCTTTCAAAATTAATTTTTTTTTGATTTGTAATTTATTAGTTTGTATGTCTAGAATACATTTTCCTTTAAGGCAATACACTCAAGCACGCTTATGTGCACATCCTTTCAGACAGAATTTTTTGTGCATATATTTCGTATTCGCAAAATTAAATTTTTATGTCAAATTTGTATAAATTATAAATGTATAAATTAGAACATTTATAATGGATTGTGATTCTTTGTAAAAACTGACAGAAGCATTAAAAACTTTTGGACTTGTAAAAGTTTTTTGATATTAAGCAAATTGCAGTTAAGCGTTACAAAAACTACATAAGGAATTGAAAAAATTACATGTGGTCAAAATATGCAATGAGGGATTTTTGCCTTTATATACGTATTGCAATTAAGCGTGTTCGACTGTATATACTTGTAACTTAATATAGGAATTAATTTCATAAAAATATTTAATAAAAATAATTTAAATAAAAAATAAATTTGTATAACAATTATTACAAAATATGAGAAAATTTCTCTTTTATGAATATTATTGCTATTTTTATTGTAATTATGTATTTATTTAATATTTTTATTAAATAATTTGTTACTCGTAAAAAATAATTTACTAAAATTTTTTGTCACTGTTATTTACAAAATTTACAACACACAAAAAATGTATATCGCAACACAAAAACACAGTATGAATTCACACCACAATTTGCACACAAGTTATTGTTTATTGCATATATTGTAATAAGAGGCGTGAAAGTGTCATTAAAAACAAAAGTGTTAAAAACATTAAAAGGAAAAAAAATAATTTTTTATGCAACAAATTATGTGAATTACTCGAATATACTCCAACATTATGCACTTTTAAAATTTTAAAATTATTATAAGAAAAATTATATTTCTTGATTTTTATAATTTCATCTTCTCACACCTTTCATTTTTTTTTTGTTTAAAGTTTTTCCCATTTAAATTTTTCTGTATTTCTTTTCTTTATTTATCTACATACAAAATCTATATATTGCAAATATAATCAACAATAAATTTAGAAAATGCATTCAAAATGAAAAAGATATTCCAGGCGAATATTATAGATATTCAAAAAACAATAAATATATTATATAAAATATAATCAAAAATCATATTACCGTTAAAAAAATATAAAAATATTTTCTCATATTTAAAAAAAATAACTAATTAATATTATTATTATTACAATTTTTTTTAATTTTATTAATTAAACTGCCATTATCAATTTGTTAAAGTCAGTCAAAATATGGAAGAAATAAAAATTTAAAATTATTTGCAATCGACTTAGATTTATGTACAT